ACTGGCTTAATTCTACCGACCATTTGACGAGTTGACCGGAAGTTTCGGGCTTTTGTAGAGTCTGTCTCGGCGGGTGGTTTGTGAGAACCCGTATTGTGTGAGATTGGAAATAGTGCCGAAGCTTCCTTGAAGCCACCATCAGGGCGAGGGCTAGGCGCTCCATTTCGCTGTATCTTGACTCGGCGTCGATGAACCTCTTGCTCACATAGTAGATCGGCAATTGCACCCTCTTTTCTTCTCTTACTAATATGGAGCTTACGGCGTGTTAGGACACGGAGAGGTATAGGCTAAGCTCCTCGTCGACGTTTGGTTTTGACAAAATTGGGGGCTTGCCCAAATGCTCCTTCAATTTCTGGAAGGCCTCTTCACATTGTGGTGTCCACTCAAAGCGCTTGCTTCCTTTCAAAGCGTCGAAGAATGGGACGCATTTGTCAGTTGCTTTTGACATGAACCTGTTTAGGGCAGCGACACATCCTGTTAATCTTTGCACTTCCTTTGGCTTTGTTGGGGACCGCATATCCTGGAGGGCTTTGATTTTCTCAGGGTTAGCTTCAATCCCACGGTTGCTGACCATAAAACTAAGGAATTTTCCCGACCCAACTCCAAAGGCACATTTCTGGGGATTGAGTTTCATGTGGTATTTTCTTAACACACCAAACATTTCCCCCAGATGATTGACGTGATGGCTGGCCCTAGTGCTTTTTACAAGCATATCGTCGACGTAGACCTCCATCGTTTTGCCGAGCTGTTGAGCGAACATTTTATTCACAAGCCTCTGGTAGGTAGCCCCTACATTTTTCAGGCCGAAGGGAATCACCTTGTAGCAGTAGAGGCCCCTATCGATTATGAAGGATGTGTGCTCCTCGTCGACTGGATGCATGGGGATCTAGTTATATCTGGAGTAGGCGTCCATAAAGCTCAGCATCTCATGCCCTGCCGTGGCGTCGACCATTTGGTCTATTTGAGGGAGTGGAAAACCATCCTTTGGGCAGGCTTTGTTGAGATCGCTGAAGTCGACGCATGTCCTCCAGTTCCCGTTGGGCTTGACCACTAGAACGGGGTTTGATACCCAACGTGAGTAATGGGCCTCCCTGATGAACCCATTATTGATCAGCTTGTTGACCTCTTCTTTTAGCGCTTCATACCTCTCTGGGTTCATCGATCGACGTTTCTGGCGCTTGGGCGGATATGAGGGGTCAACGTTTAGGGAGTGACATATTACCTTGGCGTCGATCCCTTCCATGTCGGAATGATTCGAGGCGAAGATATCTAAGTTCTTCCTGAGGAAGTTTTCAATCTCAACCTTAAGTGATGAGGCTAAGCCCGAGCCCATTTTTAGCACTTTGGTGGACTCGCCTTCATCAACTTGGATTTCCGCCAACTGCTCGACGGGTTGAGACCATTTGACTTCCTCTTGGATCCTGGGGTCTATGTCCTCGACGAGGCTCTGGTGAACCATCCTTGTCTCATGTCTTCATGGCTGGTTATATCCGCGCAAGGCATCAGAGTATGCAACCCTAGCTTCATACTGGTTGCTCTTCATTTCGCCCACACCATTTGGGGTAGGGAACTTAACCTTTTGGTGGTAAACGGAAGTTATGGCCCTTAGCGCCTGAAGGGTTGGTCTTGCGATCACGGCGTTGTATTGGGAGCCTCCTTTTATAACCACAAAGTTGGCCATTGTGGTAGCCTGTCGGGGGTTTTTTCCAGCGGTTATAGGCAACCGGAGGGTCCCCTGGGGGATGACGGAGTCCCCAGTGAAACCATATAGCGGCCTGGAGGTTTTTTCCAATTGTTCCTTTTGGATCCCCATTTTCTCCAAGCAGTCGGAGTAGAGAAGGTCCACCGAGCTCCCATTGTCCACCAGGATTCTGCACACGGTGTGGTTTCCTATCATGGCTTCCACCACCAAGGCGTTGTTGTGGGGGAAATGAACCCCACTGGCGTCATCCTCGTTAAAGGCTACGTCGGTGTGACTGTACCTTGGGTTTTTCGCAGCGGAGACGCTCCAGAATCGCTCCTGATAAACCCCCTGGCCTCGTGGGCGTAGTCCTTCTAAGACCTCCTTGAGTCTCCTCCTATATAAGGACCGCCGAGGACAGTCCGTATGACGCCGACGGGTTATCGGTCTTCTGGGGGCTGGTTATCCCCCCGGCGCAGACCGTCATTTTGCCCTCCGCGGCCGTCATTTCGGGGTCTCCGTTCGGCCCTGAACTCTTGTAATCTCCCCTCATGGATCACTCTTTCGATCTCATCTTTGAGGTCAGCGCAATCGTTGGTGTGGTGGCCGACATCGCCGTGGTGGCCAACATCACCGTGGAACCTACAAAATTTCTTCTGGTTCCTTCGGCTGGGATCTGACTTCATCAGTTCCGGTCGGGCGCAGCAATTCCCGCGGCCGACCTGATTGAAGACCTCCTCGACTCCTATCGTTAGCTCATGGTAGGAATCGTATTTCTGGAACAGTCGAGGCTTACGGGTATCCTCTTGCCTCGGCTTCTTAGCTTATGGAGCGCTCGTCGTCGCGGCGGGCTGCTTGTCTCCGTTTCCTCCACCTCGACGCTTCTTCCCCTCCTGTTTCACAGGCGTCGACCCTTGTTCGGTTCCTTTATTTTTGTTGGACCTTTGCTCGGGGTCGTTTACGTCCGCCTCTTCGGCGTTGATGTACCCCTGCGCTCGCGCCAAAAACTCCCTGTAGCTGGATGGAGGTTTCCGGTTCAGCTCTCTTTTGTACGGGATAATTTTCTTCATGCTAGATAAGGCCCCCATCAAGGCCTCTCTATCTGTTATATCCATCGTGGCGGCGACAGCTTCCCCATATCTCGCGAGTCATTCCCTTAGTGACTCGTTCGGCTTTTGGTATATCGTCGTCAGATTCTGCTTTGGGGTGACATACTTTTTGACCCCTATGAATTGGAGGGAAAACGCTTCCTTCAACTCGTCCCAGCTCAAGATAGAGTTTGGCCTCAGCGTCCGGAACCATCTTTGGGCAGAATCTGTCAAATGGTTTCGAAAGGCTCGGCACATGATCTTCTCGGTATAACCGTGCAAGAGCATGTGCCCTGTGTACATCTCCAAATGGTCATCGGGATCCCCTCGCCCATCATACAGTGAGATTGACGGTGACCTGTATTTATCGGGGAGAGGGGGCACCATTATTTCTTTGGTAAATAGATGGTCATGTGTGCAGCTGGGCGTGATGTCGACGTTTACCACCTCAGCCACACGACCTATATTCTTTTTTAGGCCCGCCATGTCACCCGTCAATCTTTGCTCCAGGCTGGCCATACGTTCCATGATGGCGCGTGCTTCTTCTGTCGAAATGGCCGAGCCGGCTACTCTCGACGCTTCTGCCCTCTGAGCGTTGGGTCCGCCTTGGGCCTGGCCGCCTGCCTGTACCGATCCTGAGTCTCCTGGCGGGTTTCCACCTGGATTCTGGGATAGTACCTCGGGGTTTCCTGGACCTCCTGGTACCCAGTCCTCGGGAGCTCAGAGTCCGGCGGCCCCCAAGCGGCTGCCAGAGGATTGGGAAGGCCGAAGCCTAAGAGGGCCCCGGTGATTCTCACTATCTCCGGTTCCCTCTTGGATATGTGGGTGGTCATCGTGGTTCAAATTTTCTGCCATGGCAGGTCCCTGCGGCCTCGGGGCGTCTTCTAATGGTGGCATGGAGTTCCTTCCATCTAAGCGCTCAACCACGGTCATTAGCCCACGTACCAGCTCGGTTAGAGTGGTTAGTTGGGCTTGCATCTGCATCGGATCCAGCCGTGGTGCGTCTAGAGGTGGGACTTCGTTTCCGACCGGGCGTAGATCTTCTTCCATCCCGCTATTCCCTGGATGGATGGCGGTTTATAACTATGTTGTTCGGGGTCGAACGCTTTCGGTCCCCAGTGGAGTCGCCAATTGTTGATGGTCAAATTTCGCCAACAAAAACTAGCCGGGTTACCTCTTGGTTTCCTTTTGGATTACCGGCCTGTGTGTAGTGAACATATGAGAATTTGTTGAATATGTGTGTTTATGTGTTTAACTAAATCAAGCATGGACAAAACAACACAATGAATTTTATAGTGGTTCACTCTATAAAATTAGAGCTACATCCACTGTGATTTTGTATTTCTTTTGAGAAGATAACAATTTACAACAATTGCTCTTATTAAATCTCTTTTCTCTTTGCTGGAATCTCTGAACCCCTTCCTTACTGGGGGCCTTCCTCATTTTATACTGGGCTTCCTTCGCTTAGGGGGTTTCCTTCATAGGTGGGAGCACTCAAGTGCTCTTCCTTAGTAGGCCCAGACGTAGCCCACTAATCAGCACTGTTCACTCAGCCAATTAGTCTCCTATTACGGCTCTGTGCTTCTCCGTAATACTTTCATGTCCCCTGTGGGGCGGTTTGAGAGCTTGCAATTAATGTCTGCAGACGTCTTCCACTTTTGCACGCAACCCGTCACGTCCTTTAAAGAACGTTCCCCTTGTCGTCAGCGCTGCTTAGCCCAATCGCCCTCTTTGGCGGTCCTTTCTGCGGTCGAGGGATCTTCGTGCCTCAATCTCAACGGCGCGATCTGTCGACGCCAGAAGGAATCGTCGCTCTAATTTGGACTTCGTGCTTTGGGCTTTCCAGCGGAAGAGGAGAGAGCCGTAGACGTCGAAGGTTATTGCTTGGCGGAGAGTAGTCAAGGCCACGTGTCGCATTATCGTTCGTCCACGTGTCTGTCACATTTTCCCACACAACAGAATTCAACTTCACGCTTCTAAGTTGTTACGTCAGAGTTGCCACTTGAGCTGTTAAAGCCGTGATTGCATCTATCTCGTGTATCCCCATGGCTTTCTTTTGTGTTGAACGTTCTGAAGGTCATTGGTGGTTATTTGAAGCCATCTCCTCCAACAATTTGTACGCTTCATTGAATGTTTTCCTTAAAAGAGCAACTCCAGCTGCAACGTCTATCATGGTCTTGATGTTTCTATTTAGACCATTGTAGAAGGTTTGTATTTGCATCCAATCAGGAATTCCATGATGAGGACACCTTCGTAGCATAACGTTGTATCTCTCCTAAGCTTCATACAGAGTCTCCATGTCATGTTGAGCAAACTGAAAAATTTGACTTCTCAATTTTACAGTTTTTGTAGGAGGAAATTAAAGTATTTCGTCATAAATTTTTGAGCTAAGTCCTTCCATGTGGAGATACTTCCTTAAGGGAGGGAATTTAGCCAACTTTTTACTTTGTCTCTCAGAGAAAATGAGACAATTCAAAGTTTTATGGCATCATCAGTAAAGCCATTATGTTTGAAAGTGCCATAGATTTCAAGAAAATTGACTATGTGAACATTTGGATCATCAGTAGGCAGACCACTAAATTGGACAGAGGTTTGGATCATTTGAATGGTTGAAGGTTTGACTTCAAAGTTGTTAGCCACTATGGGTGGTCTAACAATACTAGTGGCAGATACAATTTTTGATCTGTTTCGGATATCTCCTAACAGGACTCGGAACTCCTCCTCCAGATTTTAAACTTATAAACTAAAAATTATAAACTTTGAAATTTACACTGGAATTACTAAAACAAAGATTTTTCTTTTTTTTTAATTTCTAAAGAGCTCTAAGGCTCGAGGGATCCATTGAAGAGTTGGGGAAGCAATCTATTTATAGGCTTTGGAATGCAGATGAGTCCAATGCATAGATGTTGTAGAGTCACAGAGCAGGCACAAAAGGTCCATGGGTGGTTTAGCAGGTGAAATGATTTTGCAAGTTGCCTTCTTTAGAATTTTTTATTTTTTTATTCTTTTTCTTGCTCCGAAATCACCCTCAAAATCTAATATTTTTGACTTAATCCAGTGCGGCAAGGACTACGTGAAACGGGATTTCTATTGGCCATCAGAAACAACAAACATTTTAAATTGATCCAGACCATTGATTTAATAAGCATAACACGTGGCGCAACTGGATTAGTAGGAGAAAGTAAGCTCATATAGACTGGCTCATATGGGATCAAACACAAGAAAGATGTTTTCTAACATGTGAGGCCCGCTGATGTTTCCTTGCCTACTCACTCTCTTCCCCTGGAGAGTGTAATGCACTCTCCAATCCTGGTCGTCTAAGTGTTTCGATCCAACATATGTGATTCAAGCTGAAAATAAAATAAAAATAAAATAGACATTATTATATTCATAATATAAAAACCTAATATAATATAATATAATATATATTATTTATTTATAATAATATTATATTGTTATATATATACACGCACACAAAAACACACATATATATTATATTATATAAATATTTATTTATACAAATTAAAATAAAATAAAAATAAAATACATAAAAATCTAATAAAACCAAAATAAAAGAATAATTAAAAGAAACTAAAATAAATTAAAATCTTGAGAATTAAGCTTGTTTTTGCACAAAATTAGAAGTAAAATAACTCCATTTTGTAGAGTTCTCAAAAATATCTCTTTAAAGTGAAAGGGATAAAGTTTTTTAAGAGGGTAATTTTAATTAGTCTAGTGACTTAAGGGAGTAGGATATGTAATTCTCTCCCTTGGTTTACCACCAACCTCACAAGTCCATAAGCAGAGTTGGCAACTTGGCGCTCCATGGGGGTGAAGGGAGCAACAGGAATTCACCTGAAAATTATGTGTTCATTGAAATTTGATAAATACTAGTTTAGGTACAGATGCATTGCATTATTGAGTTTTCATTGAATTTTTATAACGTAGAATATGAACAATAATATATAAAAAAAAAATACTTTAAAACTCAAAAAGAGTACATCAGTAATTCTACACTTGACTCCACCATTCTTTTACAATTGGTTTTCAGGGGAAAAAGGAGTGCATGTTGATAGTAGTTTAAGGTTACATTCAATTACAGAAATACAATGAAACATTCTAAATAATAAGATAATAAAATAAAAAAATAAAAGAGTTGAAACTTAAAAAAAGAAAAGGAAAAAAAAAAGGTAAATCACTTAAAACTTATCGTTTTGGACTACTGTAATAAACATAAATTATGAGATAATAAAAAAAGGAGTTGAAGTTAAAAAAATGAAAGACAAAAAGGTAAAACGCTTCAAACTCGACGTTTTTGGACTTCTATAGGATGAACAATAACTATAAATCCACTTGTTTATATATTTGGCATTAGAATTTAGGATAGGATTAGGGATTTAAAGGGTATGGAAAACAAAAGAAATAAATAAAGAGAGTTAAAGGAGAGGGGGAAAAAAAAGAATTACAAGAAGAGGTGCGGAAAAGAAAAAGGAAAAAAAAAAAGTAAGAGTTAAAAGAATAATAATAATAATAAATAAATAAACAAAGCAAAGAGAAGAAGAAGAAGGAGGGAAAAAAAACGGTGTTTTTTGTTACTAAAAGTGAACACTGAATTTATATGGACTCTTTTAATATAGTTGAGATTAAGATTAACATATGAAACTTACCCATTTTATTCTATGGTTAAATAAACTTTAAATTTACTCTCATCAAATCCCACGATAACATTTTTATCAATATTATTTTTAAATTTGTATAACGCTTACTAACTTTTTAGTTTATGAATTCATTTCAATGCTTACAAATCCTCTTTTAAATTAAAATTCTGTTATCAACAATTATAATAAATATGCCCTTTTACGTAAGGATTCTAAACTAGGTTATTAGATATAATTATGCAAACGTACATTATTTTTGTGTAAAGATTTGGGAAATACTAGAGAATAAAACGATAAAAAAAAAGGAATGTTTTTAATTCACTTCCTAATTTTTAATTGACTAAAAGAAAATTTGTTTTTTTATACATCTCATATTGATGTATTAAACAGTTATCAAATTATTGCCTTAGTTCTTCAAAAACAAAAACTATGTACAGTCAAATCTTTCAAGACTTAAAAAAAAAAACTATGGACAGTCAAGTCTTTCAAGACTTTGTGATGCTTCATGTTATCTTCCTCTCCTTAAATTAACTAGTATGTATGGCCACTGATTGATTTTCTTAGAAAATTCTCCAACCAATCATTTTTGGCTATTGTGTTCTAAGCTATAAAGATGAAAAAAAAAAAAAATCTAGATGAAGGCCAAAACATATATCTCAATAAAATACACCACTAAATATGTATTCATAGAACAAAATAATTGATTAAAGTTTGAGTCCAACTGAAACCTTATTTGTGTTCTCCTGCAAGAAGGAATGCCACATGTCACTGTCTAATTAACTGAGTAATTTTTCTTTAATAAAAGTTTATCTATATAATAACCAATACCCAATTTTAGTTTTAATTTATTTATATTTACTTTAACAATTAAAGTTAATTTTTTTTTCTATTCTTATAAGAACTATTTATTTTTATCTAATAAAATAAATTACTATTACACATTATTTCTTTTACAATTTAAATAAATACTTTTTCTGAAATTAATATAAATCGTGTACTATAAAAATATATGCAACCCAAATGGCCACATATATCAGTGTTTACGGAAAGCATGTGCCAAAGTGTTCCAAACACTATTAATATTTAATTGGTGTCAACTTGGCACAAGGAGATTGCTGCGCGAATTTCTGTCAGCCGGGGGGAGACCGAAAATTCTCCCAAAATATTCAATTAATTCATTCTAGAGAATCAGGGAGCTATCAGGGGAACCATATATACATATATAATTTAAGCTCTAATTATTATTTTTAATCTAGTTATGCCTATAATTAAATTAACATAAGGCTTTCTATAAACACCCTCTTCAAATTTAGTAATTTAGTCTTTATTCTAACTTTTTCTTGACAATTGACCATTTCAACTTTTAAATCTCTATAATTAAAGTCTAATAAAAAACGACGTCTTTTTTTTTTTTATAATTTTGATCACGTGACACACGTGTGAACGTCTGTTTAGGGCAATAACCCTTAGAAATTAATAGTTTTTTTTGTTTTTCAAGAGTTGGTTATTACAACTGATTAAATAACTCTAAAATCAATATAACCGAACAAATAAGGCGAGAAAACAGCTTTTATTATTTTCAACATGTTCACGTGTATGTCATGTGATCAAAATCGTAAAAAAAAAAAAAAAAAGAAAGACATTGCTCTTGATTGGATCTTAATTGTAAAGATTTAAAAATTAAAAGGTTCAATTACTAAGAAAAAAAATAATGACCAATTTACAAAATTTGAAAAGTTCATAGGTGTATGTAAATAAATAAATAAACCTTAACATAATTGTTAATTATATACATAAATTTCAATAAATCTATAAAATGACAATTTTAAGGAGGAGAAAAAGAAGAAATTAAAAGACACCAAAGAAGAAGAAAGAACATCGAAAGAAGAAAAAAAAAGTTTTGATTCAAACCTATGTGGAAAAATATATAATTTGCGGTTATAAATTTGTTGCAAATCAAATTAGAGAAAGAAAATCAAGTAAAATAAAAACTATATGTGTGTGTATATATATTCTATATGTGCCTAATTTCGACTGGCCTATAAACATGGAGCCTCAAAGATTCACCAGCCACATAACAAAAAAGGAGGTTCAGTTTCCATATACCATTGTCGTCGGATCTAGGACACCTGAAAGAACAATCCAGAAAAAACTTTAATGCTCCAAGAATCTGTATCTACTATACACCTCACAAACAATATTAAGGATGCTTCAGCAGCCTAACACGTGTTACACAAACTTAATCTTTAAATCCACTTTTACTTATAAAAGCAAAGAGTTAAAAGAATAAAAAAAAAATTAATATAAACTTGTTTCTTAAAAACAGTTCTAGCTAGTGGGTTACCATGTGCAAAAGGCCAGAGGTTGGTAGTCCACAGAAGGAAAGAAACCCAGTTCTTGGAATCCCTAAAAGGTTGTGAAAGAAAGGGAAAAAAAAAAAAAAAAAATTAAAATAATATTAATTGGTGATGGAGGGACGATGGAATGCCACATCCTCCTCTTGTCAACCATTCACAATTCGTACACCTTCTTTGATGTTTAATCATAAATTAAGCCAATTGATTAAGCTTCAATCAAGTGTACTGTAGAATCTTGATTATTGTTTAATCAAAATTAAAGATACTGACTTAGCTGTTTGGAGATTTCTTGCTCTTATAATTAGTATGGGGAATAACCCTTA